GATTTGATTACAGCAATGAACATTGTATCCCAATGAGTATATTCTGATTAGTATAAAATGTAGCATAGGGTAGCACAATCATTATTAAATATAAACCAGTTTCTACCATGGAGAGATGGTGTAAAATTAGATGTGGAGGCATCATTAAATGGTTTGAGTTCTAGCTCATACCCTGTTAGTATTGTTAGAACTTAGCAATTTTGGCAGATAGGTCTGAGCATCATGAGAGCTGGAAGAACAAATTGTTGCAAGCTTTTAACAAAATCACTTCAAAGTACTGTAAACATATAGTTGCATTACAGAAAAAAGGCTATTCTGCTTCAGTACTGGCTTCTGCAGATATCCACTGTAGGCGGTGTCTGCTAGGAACCTTGACTTCCTCGGAAAACAGTTACTTGCATGATGCCTTCATGCATTTTTCCCTCTATCATTCATATTTTGTATTACAATGTAGAGACCACAGCTACCTGTATTCTATTTCTTCAAGTTGTCATGGGTCTTGAAATTCTATCCAGCCCATTCACTTGTCAGTGATTAGCCTTTTCCGTGTTTCCTTTGACATTTAACTAGTTTTAATGTAGTTTTTCTTTCAAAAAGGTTTTTGCCATCTCATTTATACAATGAGATGCCCATCCACATTTGTCTTGATCATGATTTAATCATTAGGTAGTAGCTGTAAATCTTCCTGAGATTCTGGATTTTAAAACAAAAAGTCTACAAAAAGCACATGTTGTAATGTCGCAATATGTGGGTGCAACTTTACTGAGCCTGGCTTATTAAATATGAGATGGTTAAATTGAATGGGAGGTGCAGTTAACTAGACAGAGGAAACAAGTTTGAGGACTTGTAGATCTGCATAAGGTAGTAGTCATAATACTGGGAAAGGAAGAGGTTCTGTAAGTACAAAGATTGAGAAAGCTACTTAATAGAAGGATAAGGAGCTACTTTAGAGGAGTTTAGCTAGTAGAAGGGGAAAAACGAGAGAACCCAATTGTGGAAGCCAAGACAGAGTGAAAAAAAGCATGTGACCAACTTAAATAGTTGGAAAAAAATTTTAAGCAAGCTTTGGGTTTTTTTCAACTTAAGTTGATCTAATAAAAGATACCAGATTCTCCCAAAGAACCTTGTCTGCCTATAATATCATATTTATTCATAAGTGATAAGTGACTGCCAACACAGATTCATTAAAAACACAAGTCATGCCTAACCAAGGTGACCAGTCTTTTGGAATGGGAAGCATTGGATGTGATGCACGTCAAATTTTAAAAAGACTTCAGACACCGTTGCATGAGTCTCTCATAGTAAACTAGTTTTATTTTACCTTCTCATAACTAAAAAAAACCAAACGTCTAAGGGCATAGGCAGACAAGGTTCTTTGGGTTAATCCGATTCACCCAAAGAACCTTGTCTGCCTATGTCCTTAGACCAACACAGCTACAACCTACACCCCTATGAAATCATATGCATGTAAATTATGTAACCATGAATGACTGTTTCTGTGAGGTTACCAGTTTTGCTAGCTAGATGTTGTAGATTAGGTAGAGTGTAACACTTAATAAGGTTACATATTATTTTCTTTTATTATTTCCTATTTCAATGTAACTAGTTGCGGCAGGTTCTAGAACACTTGTCTCAGCAGAGTGAAAGCCAATACCTTAAGATCCTAACAAGCCTTGCTGAAGTTGCTACAACAAATGGTCATAAACTGCTTAGGTAAGTGTCAAAATGTAAATAAGTCAAAAATGGAAAAGATGTTTTTACTAATGTGCTTGGTTCCACTTATTTATCTAGTCTAGATTTCTAGTCACACTGGACTGAAGACATAATGTCAGTTACTTATGCTTTTTACGTATGGAGAAAGCCTCAGCCACTGGGATTTGCCTCTTAATAAGTCTCTTTAAAAGAAACCCAAAAAACCAATTTCCTGCTGGAGTAGATTGACCTCAGATCAGATCTTGTATTATTTTTTAGATATGCCACTGTTTCACTTCCACTTCTCTGGAAGTCCTCATTCATACTCTCATTTTCTCTTGTTTATAGCAGTCAGAAAGCATTTCTGACATCTGTGCTGCTCAAACTGGTATGTGCAGCCATCTTGCATAAAGAAGTGTACTTATTTGTCATTTTACAGTTACTCAAGCTTCTTGATACTGGACTTGATTCCAAGTGGATTTCGTCTTTAGAAGCCTATATGAAACTTTTTGGATACTCTTGCCCTATCCTATGCATCTGTTGTTACCATGAAGCAGGGAGTAGATTAGTACATTTTGTTTCTTCCTGTAGCTATAGTTATTTGTAATATCTTTTCTGCACCGTTCAGCATTTCATTCCTTTTTTTTCTACTATTCTAAATTTTTTAATCCTTATATGTAATGTATTTTGGGATATATCTGGAAGTAACTGGGATACCTTAGACCTCGTCTCCCACTTGTAAGTTTTGTCACCGACTGACTATCATGTCATACAATGTCTTCATTTGTGGTATGAAACACCTCTCTTAGGGTATCTGAGAAAGTTAAACAGGTATTACGCCTTTCAGTATTAGAATCGACTAAGTTAGATGATAGTGAGAGAGTTTCCTTGAATCATTTTGGAGATGCAGAAGATGCTAAGGGATAGAATTGCTTCATGATAGCTTTCTGGAAAAGAGAAGGGAAGGTTTAGTGACAGGATATTAATTGGAGAGATTATCAGTCTCAAGAAAAGGAAAGAACTTCTGGAGTATTTCTCTGACAGTCTGGGATAAGCTACTGTCTTACCCTATCAGCAGCATGACCAATTAGCCATTCCCTCACACCCAACAAAATGACTTTATGCCAGTTATGTTGAGTATACATCCAACTTCCAGGTAGCTTGGCAGAACTCCCCATGTAACTCATTCTTCCACAAACTCATTTGTTGTCTTCTCTTTTGACATGCTTTTGCTTTAATAAATATTAATATTGTTCTAAAAACAATCCCCAATTTAGATGAAATAAATTTTTATTTTGTGTTTTGTGTTGCAAAGATGAACCTTTTTTCAAAAAAAATAAAAAAGAAACAAAACCCCCAACCTCCTAGCCTTCTCAAATGAGCATGGAAAAAAGCACCACTGTTAGGGTTGGATACTTGTACATTTGCAACTCTTTCAAAAGGAGGAAGTTTCAAAAGGGCTGCATCTGTTACATATTGTTATGTGTGAACAAGCAGGGGACAATTCACATGTAACAACATTGCTTTAACTTTAACATTGCTTCATCTAGGTTTAATGTTGGAGTGGTTTGGCTACATTTGAATCATTCTCACACAACAATTAGGGCGTCTTCATGAGACGTTTACTGCAGAGCTGCCTAATTAGCTTCACAGTAAATGTTTTCATGTCTACATGTATGCCCCTATTAGGGTGTGAAAAACTAATAAACTCCGGAGCAAGCTAGTACTTGTAAAAACAAGTGCTAGCCTGCTTTGGAATTATTATTTTGTGTGTGTGCGGCAGCACACATAGATGCTACCCAGCTGGCTGAGGCACTAGGGTGCTTCAGTGCGCAGGCTACCTGCCCTGTGCTGAAACACTTTCATGCCCCTGGCAGCCCCTCTGCAGCACATTGAGCCCAGTCAGAGCAGTCCTTGGCTGCTGCCAGCTGGAGCTGCTCCAACCAGGCTCAGTGTGCTGAGCATGAATGCACTCTGGAGCAATATATTCAAGAGTTTGGGTTTTTTTGCTCACGGGTGTATGTTCAAGTGGTGTGCCCAGGAGCAAAACATTCTAAAATAATAAGCTCTGGAGTTTATTCATGCACATTAATTGCAGGTGTAGATGTGCCCAGTGTGTACAAGTTGCTGCTCTTTTGGAACATTTCCCTTTTGAAAGGGTTCCAAATGTACATGTATCCATGTCCTTGGTTTAGGATAGGTTTGGGTCTCCAAACTTGTGGAATGCTCACAAATGGTCTAGTATGCAAAATGGTAAAATCACAAATGGCTCAGACTTCTGCTAAGTTACCAAAGGATATACAGGGTTTTCTTTTATACTCTGTAAAGATCTAAAATTAATTTTATGAAACAAGTTTTATATCTCAAACTTGCTATAATGCTGTAAATAGATTCAAAAGCTCAGCTTCTTACTTCTCTTCCTTGTAGTCCATCTCTATCCTTCAATAAAGTTTGTTAGTTGTTATATATGGATACAGTTTTGGGCCACAATCTTTTTGTGTGACCTGGGCAAATTATTTTATTCACTCTTGCCATGTCCACACAAGCACAGTTTATTTCCCTGGGTTCAAGAAGCAGCCGCACAAAGTCCCTGGGGAACACCTGCGCCATATGCCCTCTGTTGCGCAGTAGATTAGGTGGGGTAGAGGTGGCTGGGACCAGCAACTGTGCTGGCTCCAGCAGCCGTTTCTGGGTATTTGGGGGCCTCGGGGTGCTGAAGCTGTGTTGCTTCTGCAGCTAGGAGCCTGGCCGGTAGCCAGAATATGGCTCTGGCAGTCTGGGTTCTGGTTTTGGGCAGTGAGTGCTGCTGCTTTTTCTGCATGGGATTTTTTTGACCCTGGGATTTTCCAAGGTCACCCCCCCACCCAAGCACTGCAAGGTAGGAGCACAGGGAACACCTGAATGTGTGGTGCTTCAAACAGGTCTGTGGCACCACATACTGCATGGATGCACTTGTCTGGATGTGGCCTCTGTGTTTTCATTCTTGTTATGTAAAATGATTAGTCGTCTTAACTTCACAAAGGGATTGAGAATAAAATGTGAAGTACAGTATGTGCTTATAATTGGGGGTATAGTGGAGGAGTGGTTATGATGTCCTGCCACAGATCTAAAGTTGTGAGTTAGGCATCACTCCAGACTTCCACTGAAAGTTGCCTCAAGTTGGCTGCAAATGGGTATCTGGTCATTCAGGCTGAGTGGGGGGGAGGGTCAAAGATGGGTGGTTATGATGACTTAACCATGCTAATATGATGAATCACCTAGGCTTTGGATGCATTTTTGACCCTTCCATACTTGAGTGAAATATTGGGAGCTTCTAGGTATGTAGAGCTTACTTATGCTAGTATAATTGGACTTCTTGTAAAAGAGAGGATGGTTTTGTAGTTGGAGCACTGCAAAAAGCACTGACGTTTTAAATTCAAGTTGTGTAAAAACTGCTTTTCTTTATCACTGTGTTAAAGAAATGTTTCATAGTGATGGGGTACAGAGTGAGGACTGGCTTTAAGTTAGTCTTGAGTCCATTAAGCTGGCATTATCCCAGCATTCATTCTTCCTGAGAATTGCTCATATTCTTTCTAAAAGCATTCGCAACCTGGAACATAAGAGATTGGAACTAAAAACTATAGTGTAATCAACATCTGATATTACGTTTTTCTCAAAAAATTTAATTAGTTTCTTATGTTTGCAAGAGGTAAATAACAAGAAGGAAGATGTGAGCTCATCTAATAAGGTGCTAATTTAAAACCTACTTAAATATTTCAAAAGTACTCTAAATACTAATTTTATTTAAAAAGGCAGTCTAAAAAGTGAGTTTTCTTTTGTGGTTCCTTTCTTAAAGAAAACGTACAAATTGCCCGTACTCTTGACACTGTCATGTCTGGACCCTTTTGCAAATCAAGTTTTAACACAAAGTTGTTGGAACCAGTTTAAATATAGCACATTTTTGCATAGATTTTGTGTTTTGTATTGCAGACAAATATGAATCTAAGTATTAAAAAATCCTAGACTTGACTGAATGCCAAATTAAGCACACAATTGCTATCCATACTTTAGGTCTCCAAATATGCAAAATGCCAGCCAGTGCCTCTACAGTGAAAAAAAATCACAAACAGCTTAGCATTCTGCTAAAGCATAAATTCGGGATGCTTCTGCAAATCTGCTTGAAAGAATATTATACTTTTGTGGGGACATTATTTTTGCACGGCATTATTTGGTCTCACTTGCATAGGTGGAATCTGACCGTGTTATAACCCTGTTAATAAACAGTTCAGTAACTTAATTGGGAAACTTAATTGGGCAATACCCTCCAAGGGTTTTCAGAGTGAAGGACTTCTGTACTAGGTGGGATGCGTAATTCACAGCCTGTAATGTCAGATCTGAAACTTATCAATAGTGGTAAAATAATAACGTCTTGCAGTTGCTTAAGATTAATGACTTACAGGCTTTTCAGTTTTCAACCCTCCTTTTATCAGACTTCGAGAACTTTTGGATGAAAGACCCTTTCACAGAAAATGGGCTGAACTTGACTGACTCCGTACCAGAGCTTTGTATAGCAAGGCTATTGCCATGGCAGGGTATTTTATCCCTCTTCTAAACTGGCTTATACAAATCTTTTTTGAGGGTGTGTGTTCTTTCTTCCTTGCATTTTATTCTATTCCTACCTGCTGAAACCAGAATCCAACTTAATATTATTCTGGGGCGGACTTTGTTAGTTGTCATAAATAAGTCTATGAAGTCTGTTCCTACTGATTTTTGCAAGTTGAAATTTTTTTGTATCTGATTCTGCTTTGCTTACAACTGAATATATTTTTCTACTTTCCATTAGCACAGGGGTCAGCAGAATGCGGTCTGGGGACCAGACGTGGCCTGCTGGGCCATTCTATCCGGCCCACGGGACCCCTAAAAAAAATTAGAAAATTTAATATTTATCTGCCCCTGGCTGCCTATCATGCAGCCCTTGATGGCTTGCCAAAACTCAGTAAGCAGCCCTCCACCCAAAATAATTGCCCACCCCTGTATTAGCATGTCAGCAGGTTCCATTGCATCTGGTAGCATCCTGGTCACATTGCAGAGCTCTAGTCAGTGCTACTTGTCAATTAATTCATTAAGTTATGACCATCTAGATTTTATATTAATTTTCCAGATGTTGCAGGGACACTTACTGCATCTAGATGGTGAGTCTAGATGAGTGCTGTCCCATTTAGATACATAGGTATTAAACATTTTGTATTCAGTAGGAGTTATAACTAATAACTTCTAACATTTACCAGTAATACTGGGTGGGACAGTATATGTGACTTAATATGCTGTGCGACACTATTTATTTATTTATTTTTTGAAGACATGGTAGTATTTCTATCATTTTAATGAGCTGAAGAAGGCAGATGGTTCTTAATGAATATACTCAGGATGGTACTAGATCAGTGGTTCTCATCCTCTTTAGATTCAGGGCACCCCTCCATAATGTCTCAAATTTGGAAGCCCAGTTGAGAATCCCTGCTGTAATGTCTCTGTTTACCTTAGTAGTTCCTGTCTAGGATACTGCTGCCTCTTGTGTCTCATGCACAGTCAGATAAGCCTAAACCAGGCAGAACTGCCTACTCTTGCCACAGCTCTTCATTGTCTGCAAGACCCCCATGTTTCTCCTGGAAACATAGGTGCATGGAACAGTTCCACCTGCCCTGCATGACTGTTTCCAGGAAGAGAAAGAGGCCTTTGACCAGGAAGGGCTGTAGCAGGACTGAGCGTTTCTGCCTGGTATAGGTTTATCAGATAACCTTAATGCAAGCAAGAATATTTGCTTGTGTGGCAGCCCTTCTTGTTTTGGCTGTGCACCAGCTTGTGGGGCAGTTCCACCTAGCCATGGCAATAACAGCACTGTGGAAACCCAGTTGAGAACCACTGTGCTAGACTCTAGCAAGATATATATTTATCACAGTTCTAGTAGCAGATTGAAAGGTATTTTCATTTTTGGATGAGAAAATGTTTCTGAATCATCCTAATCTAATTGTTCACCAGAGCGCCCCAAGGGATGATGAGGTTGAATGGT